TCTTTGTAAAGAAGACACTCCAAGCTTTCAAATGAACCCATATATGGGCTGATACCATATAAGGAAGGCTATGTAAATGAAGCATAAACATTTTTTACGTCATTTTGGACCCGTATCCGGGTCCGCAGAGTTTACAGTTGCACTAGTGCATTAAATGAATATAGTACGACTTCACCCAGTAAGACTGTTGTAGTGTTGATGCTTTTTACAGCTGAGATTACATGGCATTTTTAGACTGGTATAAAGCTTTCAAAGCAGTTGCACTAGTGCATTAAATGAATATAGTACGACTTCACCAGTAAGACTGTTGTAGTGTTGATGCTTTTTACAGCTGAGATTACATGGCATTTTTAGACTGGTATAAAAAAAAATCTGTCAGATTGATGAGTAACTTTGCTTATTTAAACTAAGTCATTGACCTTTTCACTACTAGCAAATCTTGGATATCGATTAGGTGTTTTGCTAAAGAAACTTTTTTGCACCAGCCAGTTACCTTCTGTTTGATATTCCATCTTTTATGAAGCCTTGAGCAGAATCACAAGAAGTTAGCAAGCCAATCAAAAAGGTCAGTCACAAAAAAAAATATTAAAAAAAAATGTTTCTTGTAATTCAAAATAATTTCCTATAATATATTTCATATTTTTTTCTTAATTGCATTACAAATTATACACATAACAGTTTTCTGTTTATGCATTAATATCAGCAAAATTATTTGGATATGAGTGGAAAGAGGATGGAATAGAGCTTAAACCAGCCTAAGATGTTGGACTGGCTTTCCAGACTGCCAAAGTTGGTTAGGCCGATCAACTAAACACCAGTTAAACCAGCTTAAGACAGCTAAGACCAACAAACAGCTTTAGGCTGGTTTAGCTGTTATATCAAAAGTTATTCAGCAAGGATGCATTGAATTGATCAAAAGTGACAGTAAGTGGTTAAAAATAAATAAAATAATAAAACTTTCACATAATTGCTGTTCTTTCAATTCTTTTAATTCTGAATACTGAAAATATTAAGCAGCACAACTGTTTTCAACACTGATAATATTAAGAAATGTTTCCAAAAAAGTACCAAAACCGCTTATTAGAATGATTTCTGAAAGAAAGAAAAAACATGCAACATTACAGGAATACATTGCACTTTAAAATATATATTAAAATAGAAAACAGTTCTTTTAAATTGTAATATTTCACAATATTACTGTATTTTTGGTGAGCATAAGAAACGTCTTTCAAAAACATAAAAAAAACTTACGGACCCTAAATTTTGAACGGTAATATACATATTTATGTTCATATACTGCATATGTTGTTTAATTCCTCCACTTGTTCACAAGGAGTAAAGAGAATTCTGCTCTACCTGAACCCATTTCTACTTGGCAGAGTAATGATCACTTCTTTTATTCTAGCATTCAAAAGTGACCCATTATGAGCCGCCTTTTTCCATTCTTTCATTCTTCTCTCTCTCCCTCTCTCTCTCTCTCTCTCTCTCTCTCTCTCTCTCTCTCGTCACACTTCAGTCTGAATGTGCTTCAGCCGCTCTGATGACATGTGAACAACTGCAGTCTGCTTTCAAAAACCCACCATCGGATAAATCGGCTTTCTGGAGAAATGATGGCTAAGAATGTGATTTAAACCTCATCTTGATAATAAGCGTGGAAGCTGACTGGAGAGTTATTGAGCCCTGAGGTCCGATCTGACATCTGGTCTTTTGCTCTTCTCTGTTTTTATCATACACTACAGGAACCTGTTGATGTGCATGTACCTGTAAAACTTATTTCACCTAATAACCCCACAGCCACTGTTACAGCATTTAAATTGTCACACACTAGAAATAAAAAAATATTATAAGAATTTTAAACAAAAAAAAGTTATTCAATCAAATGCGTTCATAATACGTTAACAACATAAATACAGTAATAACAGCAACATTATGAAACATTATTGCAATTTAAAATTTGCTTTCTATTTTAATTTATTACTCCATTACTGACACATGCAAAGTGAATTGTGTTGAGAAGGTGATTATCAGTGAGTTAAATTTGTGTATTTTATAGTCTTCAGAAGACGCTAAATAAATGGTGTGAATAATATCAACAGTAAATCCTTTTTGTGCTTATTTGCTGATCATTTTTGCGCTTTACATTCTTTCCTCACTATTTGCTTCCATTGTGTGGAAAAAAAGTAGTTTGAAAATCTTCTTAAACCTCTCCTTTACTGTTCCATAGAAGACAAAGTCATACTGGTGGGTGGTTTGGAATAACACGATTTTTAGGTGAACTGTTTCTTTACTGTAGGTGACAATGTTACTGCAGCATATTCATCAAAGAAAAAGGCTTTGTCAGCCTTTGACCCAGATTA